GCCAAGTGCAAGTAGATAAATTAGGTACCGCTCCGGCAGGAAGGTAAACGGCTGTTCCGTGCGCTTCTCTGGTTCACCAGAAGCGGCTTAGTCATGCTGCCACATGACCCGGAGCTGTCTGTGGAGCAAACGCCGGCTCCCTCGGCCATAGTAGAGTCGAGATGAGCACGCAACCACAGAGTCGTCCAATGTCTGGACCTAACAGTCAGGGGTACCTTTACCGTTACCTAAGCTATCAAGATTTAACCCCGCTCATAAACTGATGATCAAGGATTAATCTGTTCAGTTTTCCAGATATTATGCAAACGCTTTCCAGATTCAGGAAAAGGGTTTACATGGAAAACCCCTGCTAAAAGGAAGGTTTATTCCTTTTTGTTTAGCAGGGGGTTTCCATGCACACCCCTGTTCTTATTCAGGAGGGGTATTTGCATGGATCGTGCTTAAAACGTGAAGGGCTGTCAAAATGGCTCTGTTGGGAACAGACATTGCAGCCCAAACAAAATATTTAACCTCCCTTCTTGACAGTTGCCACGCAGGGGTTAAATTCTGCTTAAATTCATTCAGGAGGATGGGAGAAAGAGGCGCTTTGCCAACCCTACGATTGGTGCTTCCAGCTGGCTCTTTGGGTGCATTGAAAACCCCGCATATGGGATTTTGACAACTGAGTGGTTCTGGTTATCTTCAAATTTGGCCCTTGAGTCTGAGCCTGATGAGGATCTGGCCCATAGAACTAAATAGTTTCCCCACCTCACCACGGACTGAACTAAGTAAATAACTGTGTTAATTTAAGTTGATTAATAGTCCACAGACCTTTAAATGACAAAACAAAACCTTCACAGATATTTGATTCCATACATTTGAGTGGAAAGAACCCCTAAAATGCAGAAAGACCTTCCAACAGAATGATTAAAAGTTAAATATTATGATGGGAGGTAGTCCAACAATATCTGGAGGGTCACAGGTCGCTATCCTTCCCCTAGTTATGCACTGTAGCATAGGCAGCTTAATTGCGAATCCTAGTAACATGTATACACACTTTAAAGAACACTAAATTTATTTAGTTCATAGCTAATTAAAACTAGCAACATAAGGGTGAGGTTGTGAACCTGGTCGTTGCTAAGATTATACACCAGATACTACAGTACTGTTACAAGTGACCTGCAATAATTGATTGGCATCTGTATGTCAGGCAGATTCTTAAAGTATACTTAAACTGGCTTATTTCTTCATAAAAGAGCAGTTAAATGAATAATTGAAAAGAATTATAAATGAATATAATGGATACATTCACATCTGTATTCTGAGTTTCTTAGTAGGATGAATAGGAGGGGTAACCTCAAGATTTTGCTCTGTTTTGTGTGCGTAATTAAAATCTGTTTAGATTTTCAGCAGTGGTTGCAACTTTCATGAGAACAAATCACAGTAAGATATACTTGTTTACAAAAGTATATCATTAGAATGCAGCTATAAAATAAAAAACCAATCTTGTGATATTTTGTTCAGTGACAGCATTATTGATTGTGCTTCTAAATTATTAGCATCATTCTACATTTAATTCTATGTGATTTCTGCAAACAAAAGAGCAAAATATCAAGCTGGTTAAATATACAAAACATTTCATGGAAGTATGTTTTCCACATGTATAATTCTCTCTAATTTCATATTAAAATTTGGCATTTAAAAACTATAAAACAATGGCTTAGTTGGAACCTTGTAATCACATTCAAGTACATTTGGAGCCCAGGGAGAAAATTTAATGTAAGGAAACAAACTGCTTTGGGGCAGAGGAGTTGGGCCTTCTATAGAAACACAAACAGCAAGGGCCATGTTAAAGGAAGTAGGAAAATTGTAGAAGAAAGACTTGGAGTAACCTTAGGGACACTTCACAGTACACTGATGTTTGTGATTCCTAATTGACGTGTTTCAAAATGGAAAGCCTTTTAGTGAGCAAGAAAATTCTGAGTTATAAAATGGCTCACATGAAAAAGGTTAAGCATCTGTTCCTCAACCTGGGTGTCTCTTTCTCTCACAGTAGTATTCTGCTGTTTTTCATTTATTTGTTGTTGGTTTTAAAAAAGGTCAGGGCTTCATAACAAACATTTGTGTGTATTTTGCCCCTTAATTATTCTTTAAGGTAGTCAACAAATGACTTTACTCATGAGATGTTTGTAAAAAATACCCTGTAATACTGAGCCAGATTTTGCGGAAATTTGGAGAAGCAGTGATCAATTTTAAAGAAACATTTGTTTATCATTTAGCTAGTATTCTTATTTTTTCTAGTGATTAAAGATGTGCATTTTTAAGGAAAGACCTTGTTTGGTGTTTTTCCCTTAAAATGAATTTTTTTTCTATACAGTGTTCCATTATGGCTTTGAAATTATGGCATTTATACAGTAATCAGAATAATGGATATTGTCCTGTCAGTTTGTAAAGAATTAATTTGGATTAGGTATGGTCTTTTTTAAAAGAAAAAGAAACCCCCAAAGCTTTAATCCTAGATTTCTAGTGGATCTTCCTTTGCTGCTTTGCCAGCGTTGTTCATGCCCCTTTTGTAAAAACTCTTTCATCCTATCCCATAAAGCTATTCTTTTCCACCATAAGGACAAAGCTGCTATATACGTTATATTGCCCTTTGGGGACTGCATGCCAGCAGTGGGTGTGGCCACCCCATATCCTCACATGCACGCACAGACACATCTCAATTGCACCATGGAATCCTGGTTATATGATTGGCACAAGGTCACCCAGTGAACTCCGTGGCCGAGTAGGGATTTGAAAATCTCCCAGGTCCTAGTCTCTAATCACTATACTGGTTCTCAAACATGTGGCCCCCTGGGACTGAACTTCCAACATCCCTGATCATTGACCATGCTGGATGGTAGGGCTGATGGAAGTTGGAATTCAGCAACATCCATTCAGATCCATTTTTAGGTTTGTTTGGGTTTTTTTTATATAAAAAAACAGCTTTTGATTGTATGGGCAGGTTGCCTTCTGAGACCACCTTGACCCAGTATTGCTCAGTTTTTATAGAAGGCCATAACCGCCCATAAGGAGAACATCAGCTGATAGGTTATATAGCACTTGCAAGCTATATTTTAGAACCTAGTTGTTCACCAAAAGTAAGAATTTGTAAATTAATTCAGATGCTACTTTCCACTTGATATTAAGGAACTTAACCCAGGAAGAGCATGGCATATTAATATCAATCAAAACTTGAAGATGTGGAACCCCTTTGGCTTTGAGCCTTGCTCTGCTAATGGAATTGCAGGTATTGGAGGAAGATAGGTGGTAAAATATAGGCTGAATATTAGTAGAAGTAATCTTTGTTTCAGATTCACCGGCAGCTTTATGAAAACGTTTTAGCTGCGGAATGGTTATCCTTCGTTGCTTACCAAGCTAGTCCTTCTTTTTCCCTTTTTGTGAGGAGTTGTGAATCATTTGTCCATTACCCAGCAAGCATTAGCTATGAAACATCTAAACACAGCTATTTCTACAGATGCCTATCTGTGCCTTTTCTACAGACTGAAATGTTGGAATAAAGAGACTGCAAAATGCACATGAATATACTCCTTTTAACAAATGCTGTCTTAAAATATTCTACTTTTTTCTTCCTATGTTGCCTTTGCCTTTCCTGATCGAAGTCTAGGAGAGTAAGTCAACGCTTTAATGAATCATTGCTTATTGTAGTGAATTTGTACAGCTTTTAGTAGCTGCATTCATTCATTCATCAGCGGTATATGTGTATCTATATATGCATACAGGCATGCACACACTTGTATACATTGGATTTCATTCCACCCCTTCTAAACCATCAGCTAAACCAATTAATATAATTTGGTAAAGCTAGTTAAATAATGAAAATATTTGCATTGCAAATACACTTTGGGTGTATAGCTTACTTGATTCTTCTATGTGCAGTGTTTTGCCAAACATTTTTATTTTTCCGCAAAAACCTTCTGGATTTATTTTTTAAAGTAACACCTTCATCACCTTGTGAAAACATACCATTATCCTTTACATGCTAAAGAAACTGTCCATGTAAAAAGTTGGGACTGTTGTTCAAAGCAAGATAGCTGTGTTTTTGTATAGTGGTTCTATAAATGGAGGGATTGAAATGGTATTAAGAAAAGAGGGCTTGAAAACTAATAAGGAAAAGGAGAAGCATTATGTGTTCCTTTATGTTCTCTCTAGGATTCACAGAGCAGGCAAGGAGGATATAGTATGCACCAGCTTCAGGGAAATAAGGAATACGGCAGTGAGAAGAAGGGTTATCTTTTAAAGAAGAGTGATGGGTAAGTACTTAAGAGCACAGTATTTGATAAGTGGAATCAGCCAGTGCTGTAAAATGTATGGTGAGGGCCCCTGCTGTACCGGCATAAGTCTTCTATTTTAGCTTATGATATTGTGAAACATTACATTACAGTAATACCTCCGCGAACGTCCGCCTCGTCTAGCATCCATTCCGACGAACGTCCGCAGCAAACCTGGAAGTACCGGAACGGGTTACTTCCGGGTTTGCCGCATGCGCAGAAGCACTAAATTGTGCTTCACGCGTGCGCAGACACGGCGCTTTGCCCTGCTTCCATTCCAGGGCTCCAGAACGGATCCCAGCCGCAAAGCAAGGTACAACTGTACTTGAAAACTGACTTAAGCTGAAATCTTCTGAAGTGCCCAAAAGTCTTGTAATTGTCCAGGGAATGACCTATTAATTCATTTACCATTCAGAAATGAACGGAACTGGGTGATCTTCACAATATTTTGCATGCCATATCCGTGCTGCTGCTATCATGTGAAAATTATTGATGTTGTTTTGGTCTTATGGTACTAGGAAAATTAAAGGATCAAGCTTTAAGTACAACAAGTAGTTGCAATAATATTCCTAAAGCTTTTTTTTCCCCCTATGCCACATTCCTTCCATATTTAGCCTACGGAAAGTTTGGCAAAGAAGAAAATGCACTGTCAAAAATGGTATTCTGACCATATCACATGCAACCGTAAGTAGTCTTTTATACTGCACCTTTTATATTCAATTATACCCCAACTGCATTCTGCTCCAGTTAATGTAACTTTGATATAGTTACAGATCATGTGTGTGTGTGTGTGTGTGTGTGTGTGTTTGTATTAAACACACATAAAAAGGCTTGCACATAGATCTAAACTGTCTTGTATAGTTTGGTCCCTAAAATATAATTAGCATTACATTGAAATTTACACAAATTTTAAATTTAATATTCCACTCTGTTGGGTCTCTCTCAAAACCGCTAAAACACAAAAAGTAATGAGACATTTTTATTTTGTTGTACTTTTTACGTTAAGGATGGTGTTTTCAAGTTTCCCAGCCTTCTATGAGCTGGTAGCTTGCCTCTCATTGAGTACACCTTGAAATTATATACTGTTGGTAAGTCTGCTCTCTAGTTTTGGTAAAACTCTTGAAACAGCTGCTTCTTTTATGTCACTTTTCTCAAGTTAAAGAGGGTTTTATACTACCCAAATTCTGTCCTCCAATCTAAGTAATTAAAGGTTTGGAGTGAAGCTTCTCCCTTACTCAAATAGTTTGGATCTTAACGGTGGTGGATTTTCTTCTTCATGTTTCTTTTCGCTGACAAATAGGAACTTTTTGAACAGACGTCTGTACCTCTTGCCATTTAATTAGTGGTTACCCTCCACCACTCATACTACTATTTCATTCTGCATCTTTAGTTTTGGTATAGTTTTGTGCGTTAATAGCAAATGTGAATCTCCATCTGAATGTACGCCTGTGTCCATTACTGATGGTACCATATCTGGTTAAACACTGTGGCCTTTTAATTAGCAGACTTACAGATTACAGACACAGGTGGCTACAGATGAGCAAGTGTCTCATGATGGCTGCTTAATTGGAAATGCTGACTTCACAGGGTGAGCTGTTAGTCTGGTGGAATTTGCAACATAGTAAAGTCTAGTGTAACCACATCACTGATCACCCACCTTCAATGTGCTAAGGCATGCTTTGGCGATAGCAGATGACATGAACAGCTCGTTCTGGCAGATGATAATGAACAGCTCATTATGTGACAGAAGACATCCCATGGAATTTTTTTAAATTCCCATCACAGGGCTGTTACTCATCTTTATCCATAATAAATAAATAAGCCAGCTTTTCTTCAAGGAGCCTTTTCCTTTATGGTACAGTGTTCAATAAGAAAAGTGATTTCTTTATATGCCTTGCCTTAAATGGGTTCTAGTCATTGTACCAAATGTCAAATGCGAACATGGTTGTTTTCACAACATGTTCATACAGCAGCAGAATTTTTTAAGTCTACAAATCAAGTATGTAGAATTTGTACATGCAGGTCCCGCTTTATGAACACTCACTATGCAGAAATTCACTTATCAGAACACAAGGAATTGGTACCCAAACCTCACTATATGCAATGCACATTCAGATATCCAAATAGAAAGCATTTTTCTACTTCCTTGTTTGCCTTTTGCTGGTTATCCGAGGGAGGGAGGGGGAGGAATCGAACAGCATTTTTTCAGGGGTTTCTGGGTTTTTTGTGTGTTTTGGGGTCAAAGTTCCATGATCAGAAACACATTAGAACTTTTACCATAGGAATTAATGGGAATCATTGACTCATAATGTGAATGCTCACCCATTGAATGATTTCCAGGGAACACATGGTGCTTGTAAAGCGGGGTCTGCATGTACATTTGACTTAACATGGTTTTATTTTGCTGATGGGATTACCTGACAAATTTGCAGAAGTTTCAAACTGATAGGAAAATATAAAATATATAATTAATTTAAAATTTTGCTTTGCTCCAAAGAGATGTTTGCTTTCACCAGAGTTAGATTGTGGCTTGATTCAGGTTTAATGCCAAACCACGACTTGTTATTACAAGAATGAGCCTTATCCTCTTACGTTGCCCCTCACCTCACATGCTTCACTTTACATCAACCTTGGAGAAACCATAGTTTGTCATTGCATCCAAACTAGCAAACAATGGTTTGTGCGAGTCCTGCGAACCAAGTTGGAAAACCAAATTGTAGTTCGCTAGTTCAGAGGTTAGTTGGATACTGGCAAGTTAATAAGAAAGTTAGTAACCTAGCAGGTGCATTTTATGCTAGAAAGTTTTGGTTTGTCATTGCTTCTGAACAAGCCCTTGGTCTTTTTAAATCTCTGAGATCATGTTTTACATTTGTTAGCAAGATAACTGGCAGATGATTTTTGGTTGAATCATCCTTTGCCTCCCCCATTTTTTTCTTTCGAATAGAGAAATCTAAGTGGCCTTTGGAATTAGAAAAGATATTCAGAAGTAAGTTTTTGTTGTTGTTCATTTTTATATTCCTTGAGTAGTCATGTTTCATGATCATGGAAATTAATATTTTATAAACTTAAAGGCTGTATAATATAGCCATGGATGAGAGATCAAGTGCACCCCTCAGGCACACATTCTGTTCTTCCACTCACTCACTCAAATTCCCCTTCCTTTTTCAGTGCTAACTATGGTTGTGTCTGCATTTCTGGATGCCAAGCAGAGTCAATTTTCAACCAGAGTTTGTAGTTCTGAAACAACATAAGAAAGCGGGTTTTAAATGTAAAATTCAAGCTAGCTGTGTGTAGCTTTAAACTTGATGCATATCTAACACTTGTCATAATTAGCACTGAAAAAGGAAAGTGGGAAACGTGAGCAGGAGATGGAAGGATCAATATACATTTGTGAGTGGAGGAGGTAAAAGTTATAGATGTTTTTTAAGAGAGTGGGGGAAATTGTATCTATTCCCAACCATAGTCATCTGTAGTCATTTCTGAGGTATCAGCCCTTCTTCCAGAATCAGCTTTAAGATGTGGCATTTACCATCTTGGAGTTAGACCCAAAGGGTTGGATCCAGACACACTCAGAAGAATTCCACTCTTCCTGGAGGAAGAATAGGCAACATTTCCCAATTCTTCTTTTCTCTTGAAGCCCCTGGTACCCTCAGGAAAGCTGCTGAGAGGGCCGTAGAAATATTATTGAGCTCAGCCTTACTGTCATTTAAACGTGCTCCCAGCAGCATGACTCAATAAATCTCTATATTGCCTGTAAGTGGTATATCAATCAGTGTTATATCAAGGCAAAAGTTTGGATTTTGATTGATCGATTGATCAGTGATGGACTCTTGGCTGGCTATGCATAGGGGTGTGAGATGTCCAGAACATGTAAATGCCTGTCTCTTCCTAATTAAGTAATACAAGGCACACTCTTACTTGGTCTACTTTATGATTCCCCATGCTCTACATCAAGCCCTGACACACCTCTGTATCTCAGGTTGCCATGCATAAGTAGAAGTTTGGATACTTTAATAATGCTTATTCCAGCTTTACAGTATTTTCATACGTGAGACATCTCTTGCCTTACTTTACACCTGGTTGTTATTAATGCATCAGAGAGGCATTCATGATGCAGATCTTTGTTAATGTAGTCTTGACATTGTTAGAACTGTTGTAATAAAAACATATTTTTTAAAGTGGTCATTTATGAAACAGGCTTCTCGGGTGTTTGCCCAGTGCAGGACTGGATGTTTTGGTGTAGACATCTGTAAATGAAATTTTGGACAGTGCTGTATTTATTTTAAAAGTATTGGTAGACTGAAGTGGAAAAGGTTTTCTGATAATTTTCCAATAAATAGTACAACACATTCCTTGTTTCTCTTCCCCTCCTGCTGCCTTTAAATATCACTTAGATGACTATTTTATCTTATCTTTTTCTCTGTGCTTATGAGATGCCAATATCTCATCCCTCTAGTCTTACGTAACTTGACTTTCATGATTTGAATTCAAAGGGTAAGGGGGAAAGATGTTAAATATTATAAAGCCTGACAGATTAGAGGCCATGAAGAGGGAGGTAAAATTGTAGTGGGCAGATTTTTCTGGCAAATATAGAAATAGCAAGTGGTCATTTAAATACCAAAGATAAACATGCCATTCTTTTCCCACAGCAATAATTGTTTTCTTTGCCATTTAAACTCACTGATGATATTGCTTTTAAGATTTTAAAGCCAAACAATAAAGCACAATATTCATAGTTGCCAGCTATTTAAATTTTTGTTTCATACTTGCCAGGAGATGAAATTGAAGTGACATGTGTCTGTTTTGCTCTTTTCTAGCACAGCTAAGCATTGAACTAACTTTTTGGTAGTTAGTCTTTTCTGGAATAAGTGACCAAACAGTGACTTTTCATGACTGAAAGTGATGGTTAGTATCTCAGTATCTGGGGACACACACACCTACATACATATATATCCATTGGATGGTGAAGTATGCTCTGATACAGAAAGCTTATGCTGTAATACATTTGTTGGTAGTTTCAGGTATCATGGGTTGTTGTCACTGTTAGATACAGAGCTGGATGCTAGGTGTAGAGCTGCTTAAGAAAACCTAACATTGTAAGTAGCTTGAACCACCCAAGACAACACATTTAACTCAGTTTTAAACTGTGCCCTGGCTTATATCCAGTGACTCTAGCTGTTGTTGGTTTGGATAGCTTCCGAAGCTACCTATGACTCCTTAACTCACTCACCCTTTGCCTTGTCGTATTCCTAGAAGTAGAAGAAGTGATTCTTCTATTTAGATCTCCTCTGTGAACAGTTTATGGCACCAGGACCTCCTGATGGCAAGAGAAAGAAAACGTTTTAACCTGTTTTTCACATAATATCACCTTTCACTATTTCCAACATAGAAATAGCTTACAGCTGTTCAAATATGAGCAGTGGGTGGTAATCGGTAAAGTTTTACTTAACATAGACCCATTGAAATAAATGGACTAGACTTATTAATGGCCATTAATTTCAGTGGGTCTGCTCTGAACAAAACTTAGTTGACTACCACACAGTATATTTTGGTGTTTTTACAGATCGGAGGTATTAGAATTTTTCATTTTCTTCTGATCATGCGTGTCGCACAACCCCAGCTTCTCTGGGCCCTGTTCTGTGGTGCAGGCGAGAGAGTTCCTAGCCAAGGTTGAGTGTATTCCTCTGCTCACCCACTGCTCCCTTTAGACCAAGGTGTCCCAACTTTTCATACCAAGTGGGCAAGGTCAACATTTGATGCCTTCTCATGCCTCCAGGACCCTGTCAGAGCCCTCCTGCCTCCTTCCCAAAGCCCATTGCCTCACTTACCCAGCTTTGGGAAGGCAACACAAGGGCTGGGGCGGGGGAGTGTCAAATGTTGTTGAAGGCCACCCAAAAAGACCTTGAGGGCTACATGCGGACTGTGTATTGGACTGCCCCGCTTTAGACTTTTGCACTGCCACCAGGTAAAAAAGTTATTTTATTTTACAGCACCGTCTGTTACCAGCCAGCCTAAAATCTCCTTTGTTTCTCCTCAAAAGCTACTCAAGGTTTGGGGTGTCAATTAATGAAGCAGAGTTAAAAGTTTGCTGAAAAGATAAAAAATAGTACCTTGTAGGGAAAACTTATGCCAACTTATGGACCAACCCAGCTCTGTAAGTGTGATGTTTGTATGACACTTCTTGATGTTCTTCTCCATGCAGTGTGTCTCCTTTTTCTGAGAAGATGGCACCTTGAGCAGAAAGCCAAAAGCAAGTCCACATAGCCTGGGGCTATGTCAAGTGCGATCAACAAATTCAGGGAAGTTAAGGGGGATTAAACCCTATATACCAGGCATGTCCAACTTTAACCTGAACCCCAAAAAAGGGGGTAGATCACTGCCAGTTTATAACTCTGTGAGTAGATTGCAGTGTCTTGGGAGTTGGCCACCCCTCCTATATACAGGTAGAGCCTACTTTCAGACCATCTGGTCTTCAGTGAATTAACCACCATCCAATCCGAGTCCTCGACACATCCAGTTTAACAAGTTAATCCCGCCTGACTTTACTCCAGAAGTATCCAAAGCAGTTTACAAACAGAAGATAAAAATTCCTTATAAAACAAAAACAACATTAAAAAAATAGATAACGGATGATAATAATATAGTGCTGTGATACGGATTTCCGCAAAATAATATGTGTAAAGCACCCAGGGAGGTATTCTCCTTCAAAGGCTGTATTAAGTGGCATGATTTTTAAGCCTGTCTGGTTAAAGCATAATTTATGTTATTGTTTGCTTTTGTTGGTTTTCTTCAGCAATTTGTTTTTTATTTTTGTAAACTGAGGCTGTTTTAAATTTTAGATGCGTATACTTTGGAGTTCAGGAGGGGTAAACTAGAAGCCAGCATAGGCTTTGTCAGGAACTTGACTGTACTATACTACCCTAATTTTCTTTGTTGACAAGGTCTTATATCAATTGACATCACTGAGGCTACATTCCTATACCCACTTACCTTGGGAATAAGCCCCACTGAAAACGGCATGAACTTCTGTGCGGCTGTGTATATGATTGTGCTACAAGCTGGTCCAACGTGATGTTTTCTTTTAAAAGCCCAGAGCAATACCATAAAGAAAAAATGCTATTTGTACAAATCTTTCCGACCGTGTTTATATGTAACATTTTTTGCTTTGAAACAGCAGTGTCCTTTCTCCCCAGCTGCGTATATCCATTATTTCCATTTTCTTTGGACTTGTCTGCTGGCAGTAATTCATTGAAACATCTGTGGAAAATAACCTCTGCAGACTTGACAAGCAAGCATTTGAACATACATTGTTCAAGAGCCAGAGGACCGTAAACCGAAGAAGGAAGAACGTCCATGCAGTTCTATGTGCCGATACCTGAGTCCTGAGATAAACCTACACACACAGCTAGTGAGGGTGGACATTAGCATGTGCAAGGTTTCGTACATCTACGTTAAGAAGAAGGGGACTTTGGATATGTCTTTGACTATTCTATTCATACATACTGTTTGCATGGATGTATTTCACAACTACTCTCCAGGCAGAATCTCTTATTCTGTCATATGCAAGAGATCTGTGCCTGCTCAGAACAGCATTGAGAAATATCTAGATCCACAGCCCTTCATCACCTTGCGCAGGGAACTTACTCCCTTGTCTCTGAGAGCTCAGGGAGAGATCCAAGGCACCTTCCTCAGTTTCTTTGTTACTGTTGCCTGAGTGTCATAAGTAAGCTTTCTTGAGAAACTCAGAATTTTTTCCTTATCTGTGTCCTGAAATGGGACATGAGTGGCACTGTGGGTTAAACCACAGAGCCTAGGACTTGCCGATCAGAAGGTCGGCGGTTCGAATCCCTGCGATGGGGAGAGCTCCCATTGCTTGGTCCCTGCTCCTGCCAACCTAGCAGTTCAAAAGCACGTCAAAGTGCAAGTAGATAAATAGGTACCGCTCAGGCGGGAAGGTAAACAGCGTTTCCGTGCTCTGCTCTGGTTCGCCAGAAGCGGCTTAGTCATGCTGGCCACATGACCCGGAAACTGTACGCTGGCTCCCTCGGCCAATAAAGCGAGATGAGCTCTGGGACCCCAGAGTCAGTCACAACTGGACCTAATGGTCAGGGGTCCCTTTACCCTTTATGCCCTGAAATAATATCTCTCATACCCCATGGTAGATCCTCCATTCTCCCAAGAATCTCCAGTATGTGATTAGCCATACTTCTGCATGCTTCAGCCCTGAATTTACACTATCAACTTCTGGTTCCAGACAGATCAGTCCCTATAAGGATCAGGCAAATGATTGGGGTTTTTTTAATATTAGTAATATTTATAAGCAGCGAAAGATCACAAAATACCTGTGTCATACAACATTCTATTTTCAATAAATAAAATAGATAGCATCATAAATCAGATGCTACCCATGAGTTAAACTCATCCTTCTGGCATCCAGTGAAATTTGTTACATCGTTGGAGTCTGCCTTAACTTCAGTGGGCGGTGTAATCAGCAGGATAGGTGGTACTGTTCTGAAGGAGCCAATCTAAGCTACCATGGAATGAACCTCCGTCAAACATGGCACAACATAGAGAGCTTTTGCAGAAGATTACAGGCAATGACCAATTGACATGTGACTCTCTGCATCGCGCCAGACCCAGAAGTTACTTTTAAAATGGCATAAATGGCCCTAGAAAAGCCCAGAAAGGGGCGGGGGGAGGCACTCAAACTGCACCTAACAGTCCCGCAAACCTTTGCAAGTGCAGTTAGTTGCAGGAGCCCTTGCACTAGCCTTTGAGACCTACGGAGAGTTTGAGCAATGAAGTTTGGAGGGAGCAATTGTGATGTTTGCAGACTTTCCCAGTGGCGTTTCAAACATACACAGTTTCACTGACACTCGCGGTGGCTCAGAACATAACCCCTGCATAAATGGGGAGTTGCCTGTATAGCGAATGGGCAGATACAGAGAGAGGACCCCTCCGATATCTTAGTCCCAAATTATATAGGGCTTTGTGCACTAACGATAAAACCATAAATTTGGCCCCTGGCATATTGGCAGTGAGTGTGGTTCCCTCAGCACTGGTGATAACATGTTGAAGGAAGGAAACCTTAGCCACAAGTCAGATAACGCTTTGCAGTAACTGCAGCTTCTGGACCAAACATTATAGCTCCATGTGGTGCACGTTTCAGTAATCCTAATTGTGAGATTGCCAATGCGTGGACCACTGCAGCTATTAATATTTCTGTCCAGGAAAGGCTGGAACTGGTATTCTTACTTTAGGACAAAACAAATGAGAAAATGAGTATCCTGTTAATCCCCAAATAATTAGCCACCACCCAAAGACTTTGACCTAGCCCGTGAAATGCTTCCAGTCAAAAGCATTTTTAAAAGGTTATTTTTGTGTTGATCAGTGTTGCATTATGTAATAGAAACTTTATATTCAGAGGGTCTAGAATCTGCACAGTCGCACAAGTCTTTATTTGGGAACACCAGCAGCTGCTCATGTCATTGTGGAATTTTTTAAAAAAAACACAGACCCTAAAACTGCATGAATTCGAGATAGAGATTATCATATTTTTGATCAAGTATGGGAAAGTAGAGAAGGAGTGAAAAGAAGGCATATAAATTGCTCCAGGGAAACATTTGCTGGGCATGTGAGACAAGATTGCAGTAGTTTGATTCCTTCTGATTTACAAATCTTTACTAGACATTGCCCCCTTGTGTTCAAACTTACTTGCCAAACCAGTAGATGCATATACTGTAGCTTCTGAATTCGGTTCTAAAAACAGAATTGAAGAACTGTTTGATCAATGCATTGATGCTTGATATAGTATATGGTAGATGTTTCTCCTATATAGTCTTTAACAAAATACGTCATATGCACTACTTTGTATACTACATGCTGCATGCAAATGTGTTTTGCAGAATCTCTAGGGCTCCTTTTTCATCCCCAGGGAGGCAGCAGTTTGGAGAAAAGGGGCTCTTCTCTTTCCCTGTTCATCTCTTTTGCACTCCAAACAACATTTCTGGAGGCAGGTTTTTTTTAGGGCTGGGGGAGGCTCTCAGCACTTGATTACACTTATTTGCATGTCACATTATAGTTAGGTAGAAGCTGAATGAGACTGAAAACTAAAGCATTCATAAGGGATAACATAGCCAGAAAGTCATAACAAATTGATTACTCGGCGTTTTGAATCAAAATAGGTTTTCTTCTGATAAATTTTCTTTTAAAGAAGTTTGAATGAGATGGTAAATATGCAGTTCTTCGGTTCCATAATATGCTTATATTTCAGCATGTAGATGAGTTGCTGCACACAAGGAACATAAAAATGCATGGAAGAAAATAGAACATCTGCATATTGTCTCTGAATCAAGAATGCTATAAATAACTTTTTCTTTTTCAGTCAAACAGGCAACCTGCTAAATTGAATTTGCTAACCTGCCAGGTGAAACCAAATGCAGAGGACAAGAAATCATTTGACCTGATATCACGTATGTTATCTGTAAAGTTAATTAGCCTATGTATTGTAGATTTATATAATTGGGTTCTCATGCATAGTTATTCTACGTTGCATATTTGCTTCGAAATCAGCCCCTCCAGATACTTCTTATAAGTGAGCTAACTTGTATATTTCTTAATGTGATCAAAACGCTGTCTTTTGAAGTAGATATTTTTAAGGGTTGATTCATTTCAGCGTATGTCCTTGGTTGCCAAATAGGCTTGGCTAACTTAAGGCATGAAAGCTTCAATAATCTAATGTAAAGCCCAATGTAAAATTCATTTCATATGTTCATTAATTTTCTTTACTTGTTTGTGTTCCAGATAACAGAACATACCATTTTCAGGCAGAGGACGAGCAAGACTATGTTGCGTAAGTATATTTTTGTTCCTTGACTCAGCGCAAAATGTTTGCTTGCAAAACTGGTTTTAAACTGGAGGCAATTGCTTATTACGTGCACCTCTCCCAGCAGAAAACCAATGGGAACCGCTTGCCAGCCACATTTGCCATTTTCCCTTTATGCCTTGTATCAAAGGAAGCTAGGAGCCCAGCCCATTGCATCACACTCTTATTTCCAATTCTACCAGAACTGGTTTCCAGGGGAGAGTTGCCACTGACACCTGCCAATCCCCTTAAGAATATATTGTAATGAATTTGATAGCCCTTTCCCCTCAGGTGATTGTACTGATGCTTTCCTGCATAGCCTGATTGTATGAAATCGTATTATTGCTTGTGCATAATTTTAATGATTTTTTTATAAAGAAAATGATGTTCAAGGCTCTCCGTTAATTGCCTTGTGCTTCTACCAAGCCCTTCAAGACCAGTTCAGTTATTTTAAATAAATAAATAAATAAATAAATAAATAAATAAATAAATAAAACAGTTGTAGAACATACCATTCCATTTCTCTACCAATAGTTCCAGAGATGAAATCGTTGGTGGAAAGCTTTGTCTATGTCCCGTTCCCTCCCTTTCTGAGTTTTCTCTTGGGTGGAATCTACACACATATAAAAAAAAGTTTTGAAAATGCTTTTTTAAAAAAAGGTTTTTAAAAATGCATTGAATTTTCCATAAGGCTCACCATTGCCATCTAGTGTCACATTGTATATTGCGCTTAAAACACACTTAAAATGTTTTATTTGCGCCTGCATAGCTAAGTCCCTAGTCTTTGTTCTAGTTCTTCAGATTGTTGCTTATCTCATGCCCTTGATTTGACACCAGTGCTTGCAGAAGCCGGTTTTTAGGACACTGATTTGCAGCCAGTGTGTTCGTGGGCTATAGGCTGCTATAAACTGGCTCACGTCATTGCCCTTCAGAGTTTAGCACTTGGTATCTGTACTGTCAAAGGGAAGTTTTTCTCTCATTCTTAATAGCCTACTATGTTGGCAAAAACCTGAATTTTGTTACTGAAGCGCACACGTTTTTTCTCCTGTTACTCTGGCAGTGATATATACTCTATAAAGGATGAATCATATAATTTAAAAATACTTTCAGTAGATCGATTTTTTGTATATTTCATAAGGGGGGTGGAAAACAATATTCTTCCCCAGCCTGATGTGAAAGGAGTCATGCCCCTCCTGTGGCCTGCAGACATGATTTGATTCATTGGCAGTTCACTTCTGGGAGGAGAATCTGTCCATTTTTATCCCTGCTTTCCTTCCTTGTATCATGGGCAGTAGAACCTTCCAAAGCAGGTACTTACAGGAGCAGTGTTGAGTTAACGCTTTGCCTTTACTGTTACCTACTTTTTCCCCAGGCTAGGACTAGTAAGGGACACGGGTGGCGCTGTGGGTTAAAGCCTCAGCGCCTAGGACTTGCCGATCGAAAGGTCGGCGGTTCGAATCCCCGCGGCGGGGTGCGCT